TAAAAGAAATAAAATAAAATAAAGAAGAGAGGAGAAAAAAGAAGATGATAAAAATAGGAAAAGAAAGAAGGAGGAGAGGAGGGAAAAGGGCGTGTGTTGAGTATGGCGAGCCCCGAACACCCAGGGCCGAGCTTGAGCGTTAGGGGCGAGTTTTTGCTTGGCACCCTGCGAGCGGCGGGGGAGGGGGGAGGGGGGGGGGAGTAGAGTGGAAGAGGGAGAGAGGGGGGAGTAGGGTGGGGTGAGGGGTGGAGGACATGGAGGGAGAGGGTGTGGAGTGGGGTAAGGGGATGGAGGAGGGGGAGTAGGGGGAGGTTAAGGGTGGAGGAGGGGAGTAGGGGTGGGATGGAGGTGTGGAGAGGAGGAGAGGGGGAGTGGAGTGGGGTGGGGTGAGGGGGTAGGTGGAGGTGGGTGGAGTGAGGGGGTGTGGGGTAGGTGATGGGGTGGAGAGAGGGGGAGAGGGGAGAGTGGGGTTAAGGGGTGGAGGATGTGGAGAGGGGGAGTGGGTGGGATGAAGGGAGGAGGAGGTGGAGAGGGAGAGAGAGGAGTGGGTTGATGGGGTGGAGGAGATGGAGGAGGGGGGTAGTGGTGGGTGATTAGGGGAGGAGGTGGATGGTGGGGAGTGGGGAAGAGCTGTGGGATGAGGTGGAGGAGGGAGAGAGGGGAGTAGAGTGGGTGGAGGAGGTGGAGAGGGGAGTTGAGAGAGATGATTGGGGGAAAGGATAGGGAGGGGAGTGGGGAAAAGGGTGAGGGTAGGAGTCATAGGATACTCGTCTAGGGGGTAGGATACGGAAGGGGAGGAGGAGGAGGAAGGAAGAAGAAGAAAAAGAAGAAAAGAAGAAGAAGAAGAAGAGAAGAAGAAGAAGAAGAAGAAGAAGAAGAAGAAGAAGATGATGATGAAGAAAAAGAAGAAGAAAGAGAACGAGGAGAGGATGGGGACGAAGACAAAAACGAAGAGGGGATAGGAGGAGGAGGTAGAGCAAGAAGAAGAAAGCAGAAAGAAGGAAGAAGGAAAAAGGAAGAATAGAGGATACACGGAAGAGGGACCAAGAATTCGGGTCTGGACGGGGAGTTGTGAGGGATAGAGGGGGATAGGAAGGAGAGAGGGGGAGGGGGGTGTAGCCGAGGGAAGGAGAGGGATAGAAGAGAGGGAGGAGGGGTAGGGAAGGAGAGGGGAGGAGGGAGGATAGCCTAGGGTAGGAGTGTCTGGGGGGGAGGAGAGAGGGGAGGAGGGGGAGGATAGCCAAGGGATAGGAGAATCTAGGGGGGGGTGAGAGGAGGAGGAGGGGTAGGGTAGCCTAGGGAAGGAGAGAGGGGAGAGGGGAGGGGAGGGAATCTGGGGGTGGGGGGGAGAGGGGGAGGAGGGGGTGGGGTGGGGGTTTCGCAATTGCGTAGGTGGATGCGTGTGTGTTCGTATGTGCGTCGTGTCAGCGCGTTTGTTTATGCGAAACCCGTCCCTATGAAGGTTTTATGTGCGTTTACAGTAGGTACGTGCCTGTGTGTGTGTGTGTGTCCATGTGCGTTTGTTTATTTGTTGGTGTGTGTGTGTCTGTTTTGTGGTTATCTGTGTGTATGTATGTGCGTGTGTTTAGGTGTTTGTGTGTGCGTGTGTTTAGGTGTTTGTGTGTGTGGATGTTTTGGTGGTTATCGTGTGTATGCGTGTGCGTATGTTTAGTTGTTTGTGTGTGTGTGTGTTTTGGTGGTTATTGTGTGTATGT